AGTACCAAAAATATTGAAAAACTTATTTTTAATATGTACAAAAATTCTTAAAGCACTTCACAAAAGAGAATATTCAACCTGCCAAGCAATATATTAAAAAGTATTCCAAATCATTAGTAATCAAGGAAATACAGAATAAAACCAAAAATAGGTACCATTTTTTTCAATTCAACTTACAAAAAAAATTAATTTTATTGGTACAGTTTACATATACATAATGATCACATTCATCAAAGGGAATTTGTACCTGTACATGATATATCTTGATTCCTTTTTTCTCCCAGCCCCCTCCTCACCCCTTTATTTACAAAAACTTTGTTTCTGTTTTTTCCTTCCTTTCTCATTTTTTTCCCTTTTCCCTCCCCCCTTTCACATTTTCCTTTTCCTTTTGAACAATTTCTTCCTATTTCATATTGTCTTTTCTACGTTTTGGTCCTCATTTACCCTTTCAGTTTCTCACACCGGAGAGACAATGTGTTATTCACACATAGGTGTCCAATTTATTTCATTTAAGAGTATAGCCACAAGTTGCATCCACTTAGCTATAAATGTCTCAAGTTTATCTTTCTCTATGGTTGAGTAGTACTCCATTGTATAAAAAAAACACATCTTTTTTATCCATTTATCAGTTGATGGGCACTTGGGTTGTTTCCAAGATTTAGCTATTACAAATTATGTTGCTATAAACATAGGTGCACATACATCATTGTGGTATGATCCTTTTAATGCTTTTGGGAAGATATCATTAAATGGCTAAAATTAAAGAACTAATGTCACCAAGTGTCCATGAGGATGTGATGCACAATAAATAGAATTCACTATTTCCAATAGTATCTATATAAGTACTTCTCCACTCAAACAACCCATCTACATTTCTTGTAATAGAAATAAGTGCAACTATTTTAGAAAGCTGTTTGCAAGTGTTTACTAAAGCTAAATATACATGAACCCCATGACTTGGAAACTTAATGACCCAAAAGAAATAGTAGTAAAAAAAATGAGTGTAAATGATCTCTTTAGATAAAAATATGCATAACTTCATTACTTATAATAAATCCAGAAACAACCTAAAAATTAGTTCAACAAGAGAATAAATTGTATTATATACAATGAAACACTGTATAGCAATAAAATAGAATGAACTAATGATACATGTAACAACTGGATTAATCTCACATACATAATATTAAGTGGAAAAACTATCATTCCTTCCAAAATACATATGCCTAATTCCATTTACATAACGTTCCAGAGAGTGCACGCCTAAACTGTGTTAGATTAGTGGCTGCACTGGCGGAGTGCCATCAGCAGCGGGTGCAGAGAAACCATCTAGGGTTCTGGAAATGTTCTTTGTTTTCACAGAACATTGTTGATTGTTGCTCTGGTGTATAAATACATAGGCGTAGCTTCATCAAATTGACTCATTCATTGACTTTGGTTTGTGTAATAACTCAATAAAAAGAAGAAAACAGAATTTCTGGGAGAAAGTATTTTATGCTAAAAATGATTCTTATAAAATGTAAAAACTAATTTCTGATCAAATTTTCATAATAACATGAATGACTATATGGTCATAATAAATAAGAGTAACTTCAAATTTTCAGTAGATGACTGGTAAAATGAATCTCAAGACAGTGAAAAGTATCTTTTTCACTGTGACACTTTGGTAATGAGGGGAAGGTATGTTGGCCTACTTCCAAGTTGGAAACAGTATATACCTTATTTAAATTCTTCTAAAGACTTAGTGAAAGTTTGATGATGTCAAAGTAATAAACCTGTCACTTTGAAATGAGTGGAATTCAACATTTCCAGCAGTATTTATGTAAGTATTTCTCCACCAAAAATCTCTAGTTCATGAAAACGAAATGCCATTTCATATCTGTCAGACCTATGCTTTGTTGTAAAAAGCTGAACAAAACAAATTAAAACTAAAGGTTAATTATTTGGGGGGTCACATTTAAGGCACAAGAATCTGAATGCATGAAGTCTTATGAATCCATTGAATAAAAAATGACAAGGCAATGAAGTGGGGGTCACAAGTTGGATATGCTAATTTATTTAAATATTGACAGTGTGTCTGTGCCTTCAAGATTTACAGATAAGGCTCCACTACATCAATATGCATCAGGTAGACAGAAAGCATGGACCACAACACTCTCCCCTCAAAGGCTCTCTGGAATATTTCAAAGGCAATGACTTAAATTTCATCACAAAAGATATATTGCTTAGAGAATAATAATCAGGTTTGTTTTTCAAAAGCAAATACAAATGTCATTGACAAAATGACACTAGAATGTTAATGATTATCAGATCCACTTTCCTTCTTGGCTTGAAGAATCTGAGCAATTTTGGGGATTGGAGGGGTAATAAAAAGGGCCAAAGGAAACAGAAAGGCAGGCAGCTTGGACAGATTTGCACATATCATGATTTTATCTGGGGTATCTACAAATAAAATGCATACTTCTTTTTAGTTTTAACCCAGCTCTCCTTTCAAATCAGAGGTACAAGTCATCCAAGAGACAGATCACAGAGCCACTCAATGGCAGAGTTGAAATAAAACACATTTCCTACAAACCAACTTTTCTCCTCTGTATTGAATGGTTTTTTTTTAAAATCAAAATCATACTTTAAATAAAATAAAAGTACATTTTTATACTCTGGGAGGTGGAGGAAAAAGAATAAAAAGTTCACGCCTAGATTGGGGAACTTAGTGATTTAGCGAGACCCTGTCTCAAAATAAAAAATAAAAGCTGGGGATGTCACTCAGTGCCACAGCTCTGGGTTCAATCCTCAGTCCCTCACCCAAAAAGAAAAAGAAAAAAAAATCAGGTTTGACAGCACACAAAGCACAGATCCATTTCTCTGTGTCATGTGTCCCCTTATAACCCTCCTTGTTTGACTCCAGTCTCTGGGACTTTTTAATTATGTTTTCCATCTGCTGAGCAGTGCTTTGCCCAGGGCCACGGTGCTGACCGCTTCCGGGCTTCCTATGCCTTCCTCTCTCACTGCCCTCGGTCTCCCCTTAAATGTCCACATATGAGGCAGCCTTCCTGGACCCTCTAGGAATAAAACAACCTCTCCTCCCCTTATCTCCTGTGGGATTGCCAAACACAGCAAACAGAATGCAGGACTCTCCATCAACTTTGAATGTTAGATATATAACCAAAATATTTTTAATGTAAGTTTGCCCCGTGCTTAAATGGGTAATAGTTTAGTTTACTAAAATGAATCCAACCAGAGAAATACGAGCAGATAAGACTAAGTAAATTAATCAATGGTGAAGGAGAGGAGGAGTTAGAAATGTTGTTTGAGGTCCCATTAGAAATTCAAATAGCAGTTATTGAATAGACATTTGGAAATAAGGATACAGCAAAGGAAGCAACAGAGTGAAGAGATGAGCCATAGAGTAGAAGATATCTGCAAACTATTCAACAAGCAAGGGATTAATACCTAGAATATACAAGGAACTCAAAAACCTGAACAGCAGAGAAGACCTCAAGTAATCTGATTTTTAAAGTAGGCAAGTGATCTAAATTTCTCAAAAGACGATATTAAAA